CTGGGTGTGCGCGGTGGTCTGGGCTGTTGTGGAGCCTCAGTGGTATTTATAAGGGGGTTACAGCCCTGGCAGGGTGCTGGGGGTCCTTAAGCAAGTCCTATGTTTGTAAGGTAAAATCCCACTCTCTTTAATTGGGTTGTAAAATGCAAACTAATGAGCCCAGCCCTGTTAAACCTGGGGAGGGACTGGAAGGAGAGCTTCCATGAATTAATGCTGCTTGAGAAGCGATGGTGGTACAACCGAACAGCAAAAGTACCTGCTGTCTCCTCCCCCAGGCCACCAGTGGCAGCACGAAAGAGCCCCTTGTAGGTTAACACTCGACTGCAGAAAACCTGGAAACAATTACATGTGACATGAGGTGCTGTTATTAGATCTGCTGAGATGAGATAAGGTATTGCTGCTGTTCTCTTTAATTCTCCCTCTCCATGCAGCAAAACAAAACTGGAGCTCATTTAATGGAGAGGTAAAAAAAGAAGCAATAAAGCTGAACTTGGATATGTACCAAGAAATGTGTTCATGTAAATAGGCCATAATATTTGCATGAAGTGTAAATGAAACGGTAAGTAAAATAACAATCTTATCTATGTACAAGAGACAGACATGCATTAGGTAAGAACTGTAAATATGTTTCTTACTCTAACCAGTAGTTTGCGAATTCGTGTAATAGTCTACCAAGCCTGGGTGTCTTACCACCTACTGTGAGTGTTTTGGAACTGGAATGGAGATATTTTGCAGTGAATTTTCATAAACTTAATTACCTTTTAAGTCACCTTTTTGTTGCTTTAATAGTCAAGCCTTTCAAAGCTAAACAAAAACCCTTGCCTTTTCTTTACCGTCAGAGTAGAAGATTGACAGTGATATCTGCTGGCTCTCTCTTCAGTCTTGATGCATAGCCATGGATAAAGTCACTTAAGGTTTTCTTTTTTCAGTGCATCCTATTGGTAATCTGAAGTATGGAGCTTCAAGTTGTCATGTCAGTTTGGTTTTTATATGTTCTTACTGGTTCATGGAAGTTCAGTAGGAGTAAAACTTGCCTGGTTTTCTTGGAAGATTGGACACTAAATTAGTGTTTAACTAGTACTTCTGATGCTTCATAAAAATGTATTTTAAACAATCAGTCTTTTTTCTTGGTGGTGTAAAGGATGGAATTCATGTTCTGTTTTTCTCCTTCTGCCCCCTTCTTCATAAACTCCGTCTAGTGACAACCCAAGTGTCTGTCTTTCCACAGATGTCATCTGGGTGATCCTCAGCGTGGAAGTTGGAGGACTTCTAGGTGTAACACAGCAGCTGTCATCCTTTGAAACAGAGTTCAACACGCAACCACATCGCAAGGTAGAAGGAAACTTTAACCCATTCGCCTCTCCACAGAAGAACAGGCAACCAGATGAAAACAACCTAAAAGACCCTGGGGGTTCCGAGCTAGGCACAATCAGCAAAAACACATGGGGGCCTGCTCCTGACCAAATTGAACAAGATCAGAATGGACTGTCACAAAACTCTGTAAATCTCTCCCCCAGCAGTCACTCGAACAACTTGTCGGTAGTGACATACAGTAAGGTAGGTGCCCTGGGAGAACAGGAGAATGGGTAGGTGATGAGACTGTGATGTATGTAATAGTTCTTCGTTACAAACTGCAAAGCCCTTCCCTTCTGCTTCTGCCAGACCTGCTAAGGAAGGTTTTGAATTTGACTGTCTGACTCTGCCAACTCCTCATGTTATATTAAAATATTTTTGCCTCTGATAGACTCTACCAGATCCACCTTTTTGTTTTTGCTTCAAGTCCTTCTTAAAATTTATATAATCTTGTCTGGGTGCTGTAACTATTAGTGGCTGGAGCCTGCTCCAGTTGCGTGTGCAAATAAGTCAAAATATCTCTCTAGATGTGCTCCTGAGTTTTACATAGTTTTGAAAAGATAAAAAATAACCACACCCCCAAAACCTAAGATTAACCAGATAACTTCTTTTTAGCTGGTGTGGGGAGACTACAGAGCTCAACATTTTGATCCCAGAAGCTACCTGTCAGGAACAGTCAATCAAAGGACTATTCCTGTCTGTGTCCTTGTCTTGTTTATAATTGTAGGTGACTTTTAAATTATCTTTACTTTAAATCTCTCTCAAAAGCTTGCTTGGTGGATGCTATATGAGTCTGAGTGATATTTTGACTGTTTTTATTTGCTTGTGTGTGAAAAATGAATTGCAGGATTATTTACAATTCAGAATCCACCTGTTAATGCAGCCAGTATGTGTAGGTGTGTACTGTCGTATGTCAAACTAGTTTGATTTTTAAAATCCTTTAAAAATGCTTTACTGTACTTTAAGCAGGCTGTGTAGGACAATAACACTTGGTTGCTGAATGACTTAATAAAGCCCTAATGTTAGTTCACCTACAGCACTTTAGTTCCTAACTGGATGAACTGCCTGTCCTCTACCAGTGGATCATATTTTAGTGACCTACTTTGCACCAGGGCTATGCATTTTTTTTTTTACTGATGGCATGCGTGGGATTAACTGTTTGACAGACTACCAATCACCCTTTTTGTGTTTTGCACCCCAAACATAAATTGCTATAAGCTGTATTGGCTCCTGCTTCAAGATTCTCGCTCACTGAAAGTGAAATGGATGGCTTAGGAAATGATTAAAAAATAAAGCCTTTCACCTATCAGTTCAAATACAGCCTGATTTAGCAGTGACTGAAAGTCACTGCCTTTCGGTGGTTGCTTGGTGGATAGCAGTGTTCCCTGAAGAGACAGGCCATTGTCTGACTGCAGAGGCTTATATACTGATACTGCTTCTCTGCATAAACTTTATCTCAGGTGCTTCAGGTGGGGAGTACTGCTCTGCGGCTGTCTGTTGTACATATCCCAGCAAAGACTGGTATCAGCTCTGTGTAGCAGTTGATGAAAAATAAAAATCAGTTACGACGTACAGCTTTGGTGAGATAGTGGACTTGCCTAAGCCTTTCATAGCTAAAATGCTAGGTTTAATTTAGGCGGCAAAACTCAATTCCTCCACTTTTGGGGGTCAGCGTTAGGCTGGAGGTGGCTTTCTTCCCCCCTTACCTATTTTCTGAGTGCAGAGCTTGGCAATTGCTTCATAGCTGATCTGCACTTGCAGGTGAATAGATGTGGAACTGCTAATACATGCACTTCTGAGAAAGTTCCTGTGTAGAAATTCTGGATGTGGAGTTTTGGCAGTAATGTGGCCTTCAGTTTTCACTAGGTCTCTCCCTGCGGTATATATCCTTACACTTCCTAGTGAGAGGAGAGTGGGTGGGCACCAGGAGGTAAAGTGTACCAACAGACTCTCTTGGCTGAGGAGTAGATGCTTTGTCTTTTCTAAGAACATAGGTGTAAGAAACCGATACCTATTGGAGGTGCAGAGGATATAGCAAAGGTCAGCTGTACTGTGGCAAAGAAAAGCCAAAAAGGAGAGTGGAGCACTACCAGAGAGGATTTCACTAAATTTAAGTAAGCTAGTGTAGCTAGTAACCCAAAGTTCATGATCAGTATTCTTATGAGATGTGGGCCATGATAATCTAACCTCAGATGTAGGGTAGGTGGCCTTTCTCCCTTTTTTTGTTGTTGTTGTTTTGGTTTGGGTTTTTTGTTTCTTTTTGTGTTTACAGAATATTCTTGGGTGGATTTGAGGTGGATTATCTGAGATGAAAGCAGAAATTCTGTTTCTTGCTTGCTTCAGAAGGGATAATTTTCCTTCCTTTTTGGAGATGGGGTGGGGTATGTAAACGTTCATGGATTTTTGAGGGTTTTTTGTCTCTACTGCAGTGTTTCTATTTGTGACATAATAAAACAAGTTAGCTTTTCCTTTGGAGACCGTTATTAAGGTAGGTCTGAAGATCAGAGTCCTGTTCCAGCCTTGCCTTTCCTGTCCAGGGCAGGAGGCATTCTGCCACAGACTTAATATTCATATTGGTACAATATTGTTTCTGTACTGAACAAGTTTGAGTAGGTTTGACATCCTAGATACTTGCTCTCGTTTAAAATTGCAGGTGAACATGCTCACCTTCCCTGCTTTAGGTCTAGTCCTATTGCATGCCGCCTTCCTGCAATCTGGAAAAGAAGATATTTATGTTTTTTCTAAAAAGGGGTAATGTGTAAGCAGTATTCCCAGCTGGGGATACTGCTTAAGCAGAAAAGGGCTTATTGGAGGTGATGTCAGAAGTATTAAACCACCTGATCAGCAGATGGTGTTCCAGTACCTGTTAGGAAAAGCTATATCTGGCCCATCTTCCCCACTTCCCTGGGGACTTGACCTGTACTCTGCTGCTTGAGAGATGGAAAGAAAACTACTACATTTGGAGCTGCTGTCTTGCGGTTGAATATTGATGTGAAAGGCTTTATTTCAAGTTCTAGGAGCAGACAAGAGAGTACTGTGGGTTGGTTATGTAGTTGCACGTTAGGATTCCTGGATTTTATTTATCTTGAGCAGGACCTCTAATATTTTTGTCTGCTTTCATGTACCCGGAGAATGGAGTGAATCCCTAGTCACTTTTGACACACCATTTGGGGAGATACAGCAAAGGGGCTGGGTAAAGTCTAGTTAAGGTGTTCAGAAGGTCCTATATCCTGTATTTGTAAGTAGTATAAGCCCGTAAATATTTCCCAGATCACTGTGGAGGCTTCCTCTCTGCCAAGAGATCGTGGAGAACCCCAGTCATGCAGTTGCATGAGACCATGAAATCTTTGAGATAAAACTAGCAGTTTCTGGCATCTGCAGCTGTAAAACATACTAGAAGTTGTCAGGCTTTGTCTGTATTAGTTCTCCCTCTGGTGCAACTGAGCAGGTGTGACTTGCCCTCTTAAAATTCCCCATTGGAGTCAGGATCTCAGTGACACTGACGTGCCATCTGCTGCTGGATTAGACAAGTATATCAATGTTTCACATGTAGAGACATTAAAAATGCTTTTATATAGCAGCATAGAGTACATGGTTTGGATGTTCTGCTCAGTGAAACAAACTTTCCTAAGAAAAAACCCAAAACAAACAAAACAAGATGCTGAATTCCCGGTAAGCGGATAAGATGAAACCTGTGATATGGTTGAAACAAACTGATT